ATGCTTTTATTTAGAAAACAAAACACCTAATCACTCCTCCTCCCACTTCTCCCCAGCCTGCAGAACACATACCAAATATAATCATCTCATAATCATCAACAAAAAAATTATCAGCAACACATCATGCCCTCATTTTTAGATTGAAGAAGATGTCAAATAGCTCAACCACTGGGTATCCTTTGTTGTCATGTTACTTCAAATGTCATCCTCTGATTCATGGTAAAAAAGCTTTCTCTTCACAGGTGAAAACATGAGGAACAAGTAGCCTATGCAGGCTTCCAAGCGTCTTGTAGTTTATCTACATGAGCATTTGACAGCGGAACTGACCAGGTATAGGAGGTATCCTAAAAGGGAGGTATCCTATAGGAGGTATCCTATACGGGAGGACCTCTGGATCACTAGGATCAGTCTGCTGCTATTGCAGAGAACCACAAAAAGAAGCCAGTGTCTTGCAAGTTAGTAACTTCTGCTTTAGTTTTTTCCACAGTCACTATTACAAACAGAGCTGCACAGGGGGAGCTGGGATAGAAGGGTTCCTAAAACTGTTAGTCCACACACAGTTTAAATGGTACTGACCTTCACCCTTTTCTCTCCTGTAATAAAGCTTGCATGCCTGTCTCCCAAATGCATTCCCTGAATGACTGAAGTCCTTTCTCATCATTCATATTATGATCTGAGGTTTCCTCCCTTTAACCTGACAGTAAAGATAAAAGGCTGTTTTAGAAAGAAACAGCAAAACTAAAACTTGGACAGAACGTCTGGGGGAATTAATCTTCCTTCTGAAATCAAAGTGGTGTGAACACACGCATATACACCACACCATTTGACTGAACAACAGCTCATGGAAAATGCAGTTCTGGAATGGACTAAACAATCAATTGGGGAGAATGGGTGAGGGTTGTGCAAATAGGCACAAATAGGAGCAATGTGGTTGAATTTCAGTGATCAAAAATTTAGGCTTATCATTGGGAAAACTGATTTGAGATTTAAGTTCAACACAAGCAAAAGGGTGAAGTCCATCACCTGATACAGATATTTGAAAATAACTCAGTTGCATGTTTTTCATTACTGCACTGAAAGATACAAGGAAGACAGATTTACTTCTGCCTTTAAGATACACTGATAAAAAGTGGCTTTTGTTTATCTCAGTAACACTGACACACTGGAAATGTAAGAACAATAACATCAGCTGCACTTTAACGATAACACCCTCCAAATACTGAACAGCTTTATGAACATCACAAAATAAATGATAAAGAGACCTGTAGCTCTAATCCTGGGCCTGGGGCAAGTTCAATTTCACTTTGCTATCCTAGGGAAGAAACTTTTCACCTGGTCTTTAAAAGCCAGCATTCCTCCATCTGAAATGAAACAAAAAGTGACTAACTACCCTGCAACCGTAAAAATCCCTTCACACAGTCTTCTTGGGACCTAGAATCTATAGTGTTGTCTCTAGCATAGTGAAAACACTCTAAGTTTCCTAACCCATTGGAAGGTTTCCTAACCTATTGGCTAAGACCAATAACATCCTCTTCAGGACATGCAAGAGCAGTTCAGGTGTAAGGTCTTCACTGATGCCAGTTCAGAGTGAGTCTTGCCCCAGACTGCTGGTTACTGAGCAGCCACACATCCAAAAAGGGAGGTGTGGTACCGATCCACTTAATCCTGATGGACTGTTAGGAACCAGGCATGGGTTCAGTATGTTTTGAAGGAATAAATAAGAAAAGCTAAACCATTATGTTGAATTTGTTTCACAGCAGATTTCTGATGTTGAAAGTCGTAACTAGTTCTAATATAGTCTAAACATGCACAGGCTTTCAGCATGGAAAAAAAAACAATGCAGCATTCCCAGAAATTGTCATAATAAAGTGTGCTGCAAAGACTTCTCCAGGGCAAACCTTTGCACTAGCCTGAATCTCCCTGACTTCAAGTCCAGTCCTGTGGCGTTTATTTATGTGGACAATTCCATTTCCAGTAGTCATGACTGCACAGATAAAATATTCATGACAGAGCACGCCTCAACTCAAACAAGTCCCTTCAAGGAATAATAAGGATAGAAAAATACTAATACACATATTTGAAATACTTCTGGCTCCATAAAATCATGCTGTAAGTTGAGTGGAAGTTGGTGCAGAACTCAGTGAAGAGCCCTATTTTCTACTTATTTAAGGACAGTGACAAATACGGGACCCAGGCACATCCTTTTCTTATGATTATGCATTTTTAATGCTTAATCTGTCTGACTCTTTGATGGATTTCTTACAAAGCGGTATCTTTAAAGTCATATCTTTAATGACATCTTTCTTTTCACATTAGCTCTTTAGCCTGTGAGACTAAAGGATGATTGTTCTCTATTTCTTACTTTCAATACATGTCAGTAGTTACTAAATACTGGTTAATACTGGTTAAATTCCATAGCCCATGTTATCCAGGAAATCATGCTAGGCAAGCATTCATACAGGTTTTATTTTTTACCTCTTTATATTTGGAACAAAACCCCCAAATAAACTAGTTACCTCCTGTGATTATGTAGGTGTGATGGTTCTTTCAAGATCATCCTCTTTGTATCAGAAGTTTTAAAATCAAGCTTTGATATGGGACATTTTTGTTTGTTTTTTTTTTTTTTTTTTACATGTTCAGTTTTCTCAGAATAAATTCTTTCATTTTCCCATCTACATTTTTTCCTCTTTAATCCTATATCCTGCTTAAAATTGCCTACCCTTTATTCATTACAAAGCATATAACTATATTTAGTTTAAATGATTTATAGAATCTTCTAACTAGCAACATTTTCCTGATTAAAAACCCAATATACTCCATGAAAGCAGGGTTTATTCTCACCTCAACTCACTGCCCATATAATCTCTCCCACAAAAAAAGAACAAAAATTGCCTACATTAAGAGAGATTTTAGAAAAATGCTATGTATGTATTTATTCAGTTATCAGGAGCATACTTCCCTAAAAGGCTTAGCTGAGTCCAGATCTTCTTTCCCACAGATCGTTGCCACATATACAGAGCTGAAAGTAACAGATAGCTCTCCTATGGATTATAATCTGAAAAGTGCCTAATTGTGGCTGGGAGATCTGTCAAACGTAGGTTATTCCCCTGCCAGAGGTCAATGCTAACCAAGAGGCACCAGCCTTTATCATCTGGTCTGTTTTCCAGGCTGAAATGCTTCACATCTTAAGAATGCATTCCCTTTACTGGAACGATGGGTGTGCTCTGTGCTCTGACCTGGGAGTTCGCCCTCTGCTTTAGGCACAGACACCTTTCATTACTTTTTTTCCATTCCAGAGTGGATCTCTTCTCCTCCTTTCTAACCTCAACATGGAGTAAGTAACTTGATCGCTGCAGTGGGGCTTCATGGCAGTACACCTTGGAAACCATGCACCTTTGTGGAGCACACTGGAAGCAATTGTCTAGGAATACACCATTGTTTAGAAAAGTATTAATTTTCATGATTTGTAGGACTCACCAAAGGAATTAGCAACAAGAAAATCATGAGTAAAATGTCAAAACTTCTCCTAAAATCAGGAAGGCAACTCCCAGCAAGAGGATAATTAAACACAGATTCTTCCTGCTTCATTATGGCACCAGTCTTGTAATGGGAAGTCTGAGATCTAGTCTCAAGGCTGCCAAAGGCTTCCCTTGATTCTCAGCTCTCCTGTCTGCAGCTGCAGGGCCAGGACATTTATATCATATTTGCCTCAAACAGAGATTGGAGCACCAAGTTAAAAAATATCTGTAGATCTCTTAGAAAGCTGTGGTGAGAAAAAGGTCTAAGTGCAGTGCATCATCTGCTCACTGACAACCTCTCCAGCACCAGATAGCTTTGAAACTGTCCAGAAGAATCAGACAGGTTTCTTCTGAGGAGCACCCTACAGAAAGCCTAGGTCCCAAGGAAGAAAGCTGTTTTTTCACCATTGTCAACCCTTTCAGAGAGGAAAGGTCTCCTGGATTCAAGGCCATCATTTTGATGGACCGTGCTCTATAAAATTCTTCATGGTTTGGGAGCTGGATATTACAAGAGACCCCCTCTTCACTGGAATCAGTCCATGTCAGAAAAAATGCTACAGTGGTGTTACATCCACGCTTTGTGAAAATACAAACATCAAACTGATGTGCACAGAAATGTGGCTGGAGGGGATGGACAGATGGTCAAACAGCGACCAAAATTAAGTAAATTTAGCCTTCCCCCCCCCCCCCATATTTCTTTACTCTCTATATTCATTAAAGTGAGAACAAACTATTCTTTATCTAAAATAACCTTCTTCACAAGCAAACCAAAAAACATGTATGTTACAGAACACAATTTTAATACCCACTTCTGAAACTCCTCTGCCTCCTTTATTCCTAAACACTGTAAACATATCCTGGTATATTTATATGCACTGATAGCAACCTGACACCAGTACTTAAAAGCAAACCGAATAGGAATTGCAGAGTGTGTGTGTGCACAACAGACATACCACTCTATAGTAGGGGCTGAAGAGATGACACTGGGGGGTACCTATCCATTATATTTGTTTGGGTTTAACCCATATTGTTAAAGCACAAGGTGCAGAGGGTTATGCAAAGCTTACCTTAGGTTCTTGTTTTAAAATAAACACAACAGTAATTATCACTGAAGTGACCAGATGCAGTCCCACCTTAGTTTCTAAATGAAATGGCCACCACTCTTTTCCAGAGGTAAGCAGACATCTAACTATCCCCATTTTGAGCACACCCTGTCAGACCCCAAAAGCACCACCTACCTAATGGTATCTGTTAATGTATGGGCCCCTCACCCTTTACCATCCTTCTCTCACAACACAAGTTTGTGTTTTGTCGAAATCTGTGACTAAATTCCCACAGATGTGCCAATGGATAGCAGCACTAGGCATCCCCTGGGCCTTTGGAAAGCTGAGGGCATTAGGATATCGCCCTGAAGGCAACTGATATCTCCAATAGCTACAGGAGAAATGTGGATATATGCATAAAGAAAGAGGCAAGAGAAAGTAAAAATGTCAAAGGCTTTTTAATTTGTATTCAGCAAACTGGTATATCTCTGTCTCCCATTATTGCTTTAATTCTCTTGTGTGACAAAACATTTCAGGATTACTGCTGCATTTTCCCTTACTCAAAATTTTTAATACATGGGTTTATACAGTTCTTTATGGTTTTCAGTTTAGGCACCTACATAAAGTGAATTAAGACAGAATGTAATAGTTTCTTTGATGCAGAATTGTACAACAGTAAGCACCAAGCATTACAGTAAAATGAAAACAGTTGCACCATTTGTGGGGAAAGTCTACAGTTGCTTTCGGTAGGCATCTAAAACAGAGACTGCAGGAGACAGCACACAGGAAACTAGGTAAAGGCACAAAGTTTATTTTGCTTACAAACCCAAACACTGAGTGATTTCTAGGCATATACCAAAAGAGATAGAAGCAGAATGGGCAACAATGGGAGGTTTTGCAGATTTTAAACCAGCATGAGTCAAATACTTGAAAATTGGCATTTTAGCTGCTGGAAAGTTGCAATAGGTCCTAGGAAATTTGCTCATCCATGAGCTCAGCAGCAAAACCAAGCTCCTGGTGCACAGAAAGGTCTGAGGAGATGAAAGCTCCCAGCCCTCAGTTCAGAGGAAATGCTACTGTGATAAACTATTAATTATGTATGAATACAGCACTGATGGTAGTGCATGCATTTTGAAACAAAGCAGTTGCCCAAAGGAAATGTTATTAAATTGTTTTTATAGCCCTCAGACATCTCCTTGGCACCTAAAAAGGAATATATAATACAGGGGGCTGCTTCTCTGAGTAAAATTTCTTCCTGGCCCCTCAAGAGGGATCCTGCTAAGGGCCGTACACCTCCTACTGCTGAACAGCCAAGGAGCATTTCTAGTTGCACCAGAGGCTCTGGCCAGGCTGGAAAAGACCGAATGTGCAGGATCTTATATTTTCCAATAGCAACAAATGAGCCTACCACAACTTTAGCAGGACATCCCCAAACAAAAAACAGAAGCTGTCTACAGGGCAACTGCAATACAGGGATTGGCTTGTAACAGAGAAACCCATGATAAAAAGGTATGAGTTTTCACTAAATTATTCAATATAGGAGTAAGCAAATCACACTTTATTGGCATGTCACTGTTCAATTAACGTTTACACACAGCTGCATTTAATAGATTTGTCTTGTTTATATAAATGTTAACATAAAACAGATTAATACATTGTCTAAATTAAGAGGGCTAAACCACTCCAATTTGAAGTATTTGGTAAATCGCTGGTGCAGCAATACATGCAGTTATTAAATGCCCAGAAGTCAGACCAAAAGTCAGATTAAAAATGTACTGATAGAAAGATGGCCTGTGAATTTCAAATTCTGTTAGTTAATATTAATGGTTTCAATGACTAAATAAATAACACCAGAAGTTTTATAGCATTTTAACCTGTCTCTAACTCAGAGGGCATTTACATTTGTATCTAACTTCCTTTTAATGCTGAACCACCTAAACAGTCATTTTAGCAGCATGTATATGCCTAAAAACACAGCAGTGACTTCTAGGAGGGTGTTACATCCTTCTCAGAATCATTCAGTGGTAAAAACATTAATAAAAACCTTAATTTCCACTGTGAAATAAGGCAACTTAAGTTGTGTCCACAGTGAAACTGTTTTTGTGAAAATATGAACTGACCTAAACCTGCTGTGTATTCACAATCAACAAAACCTCACTGGATACTCAGAAAAAAAATGAGGCTTACATCCCCCTTTCTCTATTACTTCTCACCAACCTTTCAATCGTCAGTGGAATCTTGACGTTTTGGGTGCAAAAGTACCATACTATTGACTAGACAGAGGAGGGCAGTATTGGAAAGTTCCCAAGCACAGGAGTCTTAATAGCATAGCCAACTCAATTTTATATATGCAGAAGTATTTGTGGACTAAACACAAATACTTCAAGGAGGTTTTAGGGAAAGCTGCTCATGCTGGTAGCCACACACCAAGTTATCTCCAGGTATAGACACAGGCTATAGATACATTATACATGAAGATCAAGTGCTCCGGTAGAACCCTAATAAAGGCAGGAATAAACAAGTACAGGAAGAGTACTTCCAGAAGAGTGTTTCCCCAGTATGGAAAATAACAGGCTTCAAGCACTAATTTACCTCACATAACTCACTCATCAGTGGTAGCTCCTCCATCACAATGATCCTAGCTGAATTCAGGCAACCTTGAACTGAAGCTTCCATTTCTCCTACCATTTTGTCAAGCCAGTCTCCTTTCTCAGGCAGAAACTGTGGAAACAGAAACTGTCACTTTTATGAGTGCATCTGTGCTCAGCAAAGAATAATGAAAACTACATGCTAGTAAACTGCATCACTTTCCAAATGTTGTTCTTGTCCAAAACATTTGGTTGTCAAGGTACAGAACTGCTTTAAAATGCCAAATTATTCTTCTGCTTGATTCATTGTTGACTACAGCCTGCAACCAACAGGTCTCCCATAGACAGGCAAGAGATTCAATGTAAGTTCTGCAGGAAGCACAGCATGTTGGTCAAAGAGGACATCACTTACAGCTCAGAAAATTCTTCCTTCCTGCACACTAGCAGCACCAGAACTTTGTGTGCTTTATGGCCAAAAGCAGCTTGAACCTATAGCAGTAAGCACCTAAACCCATTCAGGTGGAGCTAAATATTTTTACTGAATGATCACCGCTGTCTAAAACAACGAGGGAGTTGTTTGCTGCGTAAGTCAGTCCTACAGGGTAATAAAGCCCATGGCTAATTAGAGGGTTAAAGATGGGAAACTCCTCAGGTTTCCCTAAGCATATTACAGCCTGGCTACAGATATCAGTTACTACCACATGACCCTCTTTGTCAAAGGCCACAGCCGTAGCATATATTTTGGAGGGGAAAACAAGGTTCAGACCAAAGCTATCCATCTGGCCGACAAGATCCATCTCTGCACTGAATATCTTCACTCGGGTGCTGCTGCTGTTCGATCCTTGCGCTTTCAGGTGCTCTATTACCACAATAGCGCCCGAGGTCTGGGAGACCGCAACCCCTCTCGGGCTGATGAGCTGAGACTGGATCATCTGACACTTCCTTAATTTCCCCGTCTTGAAGTTGGCCGTCAAGCGGTACAGTGCACCTGCCTCCGCGTCAGTCAGGATGACTTCACTGTCCGGGGTGGCATCCAAGCCCCAGGGCAAACAGAAACCTTCCCGGACAGCCAGGACCCCCCTTCCCTCAAAATCAAAGGCCTTCACGGAGCAGTCCCCACCATCTGTGACCACCACGTGCCCGTCTGATGTGACCGTCACATCAAGCGGGTACTTGATGTCATTGCCCGCGTCCCCCCGCTCCCCGAACTGCTGCAGGCAGGAGCCACCCGGCCCAAAGACGTGGATCCTCTTCTTGCCGTCATGTGCCACCGCCAGGCGCCCCGACCTCCGGCAGGCTGCCACCCCGGTGGGGTTCACCAGCCACCCCCAGCCTCCCAGCGACAGCCGGAGTCCGAGGCCCGCGGCGCCCGGCCTGGCCGCCCCTCGGCCGCCGCTCCTGCCCAGGGCCGAGGGGATGCTGGTGCCGGCGGGGCCCAGGACCTCCAGCAGCTGCAGCAGCGGCAGGCAGTCGGTGGTCTCAGCGGAGCTGCAGGCCCGCCGGCAGAAGGGGCACTCCAGCCGCCGGCGTTCGGGGCCGCCCAGGGCCTCCACACAGCCCCGGCAGAGAACGTGCCCGCAGGGCAGGTTGCGCGGCCGCCGCTGCCCGCCGTGGCCGTACCGCTCGAAGCAGACCCGGCACTCCAGCAGCCCTAGCTCCTCCTCGTTCTCCGCCGCCATGCCCGCCGCAGTGAGGCCGGGAGGGTGCGGGCGGGGCGCTGCGCTGCTGCGTCAGGCGGGCATCCCCTGCGGGCGGGCGTCCCCTGCTGGCGGGCTGCGGCACTGCCGGCGGGGATAGCTCGGTCCGCTGCCGCCCTCGCCGCTTGACCACCCGCCGGACCCGCAGAGACACCCCGGCAGCGGATCATCGTACCGCTGCCAGGCTATTTATCCCACTGCAGCATAGCCTAGGGGCATTTCTGTACCACCAGAAGCGCTTACTGCGTGACCTGGCAGTAGAGAACGCTGGAAAAGACCAAATGCACAGGTTGCAATTTCAGAGGATTTCTCTCGCTATTCTGGGAAGCTTTTGAAAATCAGAATCACAGAATGGTTTGGGTGGGAAGGGACCTTAAAGATCATCCAGTTTCAACCCCCTGCCATGGGCAGGGACACCTTCCACTAGACCAGGTTGCTCCAAGCCCCATCCGACCTGGCCTTGAACATATCCAGTGATGGGGCAGCCACAGCTTCTCTGGGCAACCTGTGCGCCAGGGCCTCACCACCCTCACAGGGAAGTACTGCCTAATATGTAATCTGAATCTTCCCTCATTCAGTCTAAAGCCATTCCCCCTTGTCCTGTCACTACATGCCCTTGTAAATAGTCCCTCTCCAGATTTCTTGTAGGCCCCCTTAGGTACTGGAAGGCTGCTCTCATGTCTCCTCTCCAGGCTGAACAAGCCCAATTCTCTCAGTGTGTCTTCACAGGAGAGGTGTCCTCTTTCAGAAAATGCAACAAAAATATTTACACCAATGGCCAGTAGCCACTTTCCTCAATCAGGTGCGTACACACATCCTGTAAGCTGCATGGGCAGCATGTGCTTGTTCTGCATCCTGTATTTGCAATGTATTCTCAGAATAACTGCCAGGGTACATGCACAGCAGAGCCATCTTGCACATCCTGAAATGGCTCATCTGGCAGGTGGCATTGCTCTCACCAGGTTGTCACATACCATGTGCAGGACATCATGGAGCATTTGCCCCAAGCACCTGGTCTTTCACAGCCACCATGTACCCACAAGCGTAAGATAAACATCAGTGACTCTCCCAAAGCATCTGGAAGAAATTTCTGGATCAAGAGGAAGGAGATGCCTTAACCTGGTAGCTGCAGTACTGGCCAGCAGTGAAAATACATGAAAATAGCAGCCTTCAGCTTGCACTGGCCCACTGGCTACACCCTTTCCTCTCTCTGTTAACCCAACCTTGAAGCACCAGTAGCCACAAGCAATACTGAGAGTTGCAGCAGGCTGTAGCCTGGGGACTGCTGAGCTAAAATCATCACACACACTGTGGCTCCAGGACTGCAACAATCTAAAATGCCCCATGGCTTTTACTCACCTTCTGGCCTTGGTGAACTATAATATACTACATTGCAATTGTACCTTTCTAGCACTTTTTAAAATAAGCTGCTAACAGGAGAAGGTCAGGGCATTTTCTCCCCCTACTCTCTCCTTTATCATCATCTGGTTTGCTTCCCTCCTTCCTTCTCCTTCCTGCTCAATGGTAGCTCTCCTTTGGCAGCTGCTGCCAAGCGTTCTTGCCCGCTCATTGCCAGCTTGTCACTTGACTTGTACTCAGGACTAACATGGACGGAGAGGAGCAACTTGCGCCAGCTTCCCACCTCTCTTGCTCAGTTGCCTGGCCTGGCGTGAGGCCAGTGTTGCAGTAAAGAGTATCTGAACAGCAGCTGCCATTGCTCCCAGGGCTGCCAACCAATGAGGCTGACCCGCAGAGTGCCAGGAAGTGCCACTGACTGGCAACAGCCAGAAAGGAACAGGGACATTTATTTTTTCCCAGTCCCGACGACATGAATTGCTATGGAAGAAAAGATGTAATTTAGACAATCTTGTTTGTGCCTGGAGTTTAAGCAAAGGGAGGAACATCTCAAGACAGTGAAAGCAATTATGTAGGAGAGCTGACTTGATAAGCAAAATGGACCGGCATTTTCCTGTAAGCTGAAGCCTGCTTTAAGAGTGATCCAAAACATTTCTTGTTCTAAAAGGTGAGAGAAAAATGAAAGCAAGATGGGAGGTGAATTATTTTAAGTAATTTTAATCAAGATACAAGCTTCAGCAAATACAGCACCTCCAGAAAATAATCTAGTCCCCATTGCCTGTGTCTCTCTGTGAAGTCGTCGACGTTTTCAAGATACTTAATTTCACAGTGGCTGCCTGAAAAGGAGGAAGGAGTAACAAATTACTGACTGATCACTAAAAATGCAAGCTGTCAGGGGAAAAAATAGTCTTATCACAGATTTCCTCATAGCCCTAATGCAGTGGCATATATGCACTGGGGAATGCTTTTGTACAGGGATGCAACTGCCCATGCCAATGACTGACACAGACACCGCAAGGGTCTCAGAAAGCTGTAGACTTGAAAAAAGTGCAATAAGAAAGCATATCAGGAACAGCTTTTAAAATTAGATTCTCAACATAATTCTGAATTTCATTATTTTGATGGATTTCAGTTGTACAGTTACCGTTTTCTTCACATGGCATGTTGTTTCTCTTCTATGGCTACGAAAGTACAGCAGAAACTGTAGAACGCATATGCAAAGGCCTTGCACTAAAATCAGGTAGGTGGTGATGAGGTGCAGAGAAAGACAAAATGGTCAAACAGGACTAAGACTACAGCTACAAGATCACTGAGTGCAGTATGAATCCTGGGAGAATGGAAAGATGCAAGAGGGAGGAAAGAGACAGTATCTGTCTCTTGGGTTTTCTTCCTATCTTTTGAAAAGCTGAGAATTTTCCTTGACAGCAAAATCCCTGTGGCTATATGGTATTTGATTTTCCATGACTCCACCCTTTAGATAAGAAGTGAATGACTCTCTATTACTTGTCACAGGGTAACATAGAAGCATATAAACATGCTGATATGTTTTGGAAAAAAATCCCAAGGATCAGCTGAAATACCACTTACCAAACAGGCTTTTAATTTCAGATTCAGGAACATAAAAAGGAGGGCCTGGAAAAAAAAATGAGTAAAGCCAATCAGAGAATACACAGGAAAGAGACAGACATTTACACCGCAACAGGAGAGCCACAGCCCCATCACTCGCAGCACCTGGCCTGTAATTGGGCCCCAGTGTGTACCACCATCTGCAGGAACCAGAAAACAATCATGTCCAAGAACTCGCGGCACCTTGGTGGGCTACCAGACAGCTTTAGGTGTTGCTGCTGTATCTACAGTAGCCACATTGTCAGAAGTCACAAACATGCAGCGGATACAACCACTGTCAATGTGATGTGTGAATCTGGCCTACAATCTCTTTATACTACAATGGCTTAATTAAAGCTAAAAGCTAAATAATGTGAGAGGGAGAGCAATGAATTAAACTATTGTGTTTTATGATAACAAACCTTATTTTTTTCCAGGCATAATTATGCTCAAGAGCCCAAAAGCAGCAAGAAATCTCTTTCGAGAGGTAATAATTAACAACAACAAAAATATTTTAAGATGTCTCAGACTTTGGTGTGTAATAAAAGCTATAAAAAGAAAAATAAACCACCAAAACTTTATGATTTTACAGAATTTCACCTCTTCCAAGCACATTCAGACCAGGGCAGTGGCTGGGAGAGAGACAACATGTTGGGTTGCAGTACTGGATAAACAGAGGGAAGCCATTGAGTGGGACTGCTTCAAGCTCCCCAGGCCAGACAGGATGTTACTCTAACCATTCACTCTTCCAGCTTCATTGTCACAGCCACGCTTCCAGGTTCCTTTCACTGTTAACATACTGTATCTGTCCTCCACTTACCCTTAGCATGCCTGAAGACTAGAAAGAAAGCACAGATGTAATGGTGTGATCAGCTGACAAAGCTATGCTGTCAAAAGACCCAGGGAAGATACTAATGTATCTACCACATCTATATACAATCTGTATTAAAGCATGCAAAATCAAAACATGAACAGTGTGAAGTTCTCACCTTTGTGTTTGTTTGGATCATATGAAACTGTAACAAGGAGATAAGAAGAATTGGGCTCCATTAGGGTGACCATCAAACTGGCATAGCTAAAAGGAGAAAGTTAAACTTTACTATTTTGTAACTGTGCAAACATTCAAGCATAGCTATTAAAATACTCAACAAAGGAGGTAACGTATTTCTATGCAGACACAACTTGAACTCAACTGCACAGAAACTAAGCAAAGCTTAGTTTGAATTTCATGAGCACAAAATTGATGCTACGCGTGAAGCACCATATAAAGGTTACTGTTTACTTCTCATAAACAAGCATTAACCTTTTTTACATGTTCATCTCAAAACTAACAGACAAAACATAGTATTCATCTGCCGCAGTCTAGAATACAGCACACAATACAGCACTGATCTTTTAAAATTATTGTGAATTCAAGACTGTATCCAATTAAAAAAACCTTGGTCAAACTACTTCTGGGTTGGCTATAGGCAAGAATGGAAAATTGGAATAAAGGGAAGTGAGGGCAGAAACAACAAAGGGATGAGAAGCAGATGAGGTGAAAAGGAAATAATAAAACTCAGATGAGACTGGCAGCTCTGCTTCTGCTGGGTTGGAACAAACCACATATTTTACAACCAAGAGGCAGGGCTGCTTCCTGCAGGAACCTCACAAATCTAGAGTACAGCACTGTGTGACTGCAGCTGAAGTGTGCGGTAGAGAACTCATTTAGGTTAGTCCTTTGAATGAAAGAGGACTCATCGACAAGTGGCAGGAAGAAAAATGTCACTGCATACATTAGAGAAAAGACAATAACAAAGCAAGTTTACTAACCGTTGTCTGTCGCATGGATTCACAGCTACTAGAGCTCCTCTATCCCAAACCCCATCAAACTTGCCAATTACTGAGCTACAGGGAGATGAGGAAAAGGTTTAAAAATACTAAAAATACACATTTATCTTTATTCAGCTACTCTGTGAAGTCAAAGGGATTTTCCAGCTAGCTGTACTGCAGATTCCCCCACTACCTTTTTGTTACGGTCCAGCATTTTCATGATCCAAAACAG